AACCACATTTAACTGTTAACTCTTATAGTAACTAGTAGAACAACATCGTAGTAGGACTAGGTTTGAATGTTAGTAGGCAAAATCGTACACAAATACCAAAAATAAACTATCCAGATGGGAACAAATCATTTTCATACCATTTTGTCTTTAAGTGTCAAAACACATCAGCGCCTGTGTGCAGCTGTGAGAGAACCTGTGCATCAGTGTCATCCATTATTTAGAGGCACAAACACAGATGGTGAGATGTCCCACAGTGTTTGAGGAGATGAAATGCAACCTCGTGTTGAACATGGAAGGAGCTTCTTTCTCTTCGCGGCTACAACTGCATCTATTTGACAGTCAAAGCTGTCAGGGATGTTACTCCTCCTTTGCAAACGATACAAGGAGGGAACACCATTACCTAAACAAAGGACTTTCCCTCCCCCAGTTTTCTTTGTTTTTTGAGCCAGTGAGAAAAGTCTTATTTTCTTAAAGTAAATACAGGCTTCAGTTAGCAACCATCTGCACAACATGCTCATTTTAATTTATTATATAATATAATACACAAACTGAGTGAGCAAGGCATCTATCTGTATCCATGGCTACATAGTTTTACATGTATATTTATGCCCCCTCACTGAAGGATAAGGCTGGTGATGTTCTGTCCTTTATCATCGCCAACAACTCCCACAAAACTAAACAAAGTATTATCTGTGTGGTCTATTCCTCTGTGCCATTAGAGCACATAAAAAACACATAAATGAGCCACACTGTTGCACTAGTTGACACGTTTCCTCATCACAATGAACATGGACACTGTTGTAACTGTCCTACTGCCCTAAATACTCACTAAAGCACAAAATGTGTATTAATCCACGTCTGAAAATAGTCCCCGAACAAATGCACTGTTCACTCCTGTTTGAGGGACATTTGCTAAAACTACAGTGTTTGAGGAAATTACTGAACCTTTGTTAAAAATTAAGCCATGTATTTGTGTCTCCAATAGGAACCAATGGGCTATAGACGATCCTTGAATGCCGAGTACCCTCCACAAGTGTGATTTAATGTGTAGTTAAAGCTTTACACTACAGAGGGATCGGTTTGGTACCACACATGTTAACTTGGTGGCGAAGGTGTGAAAGTCCCCAGATGTACGTACCCGAATCCCAGCTGTCTGCACACAACCTCAGCATCTCTGTCGTCCCACTGGTCGTCACAGACGGAGCCCCACCTTCCCGCGTGAAACACCTCCACACGACCTTCAAAGTCCTCCTCGCCTCCAACTAATCGCAGAGGAGGGCCACTGCCTGAGAGAGGATGTAGAAATATAAGGTCAGACAGCATCCCCCTGTCTACCTGTCTTCATTTTTCATTATGAGCATAACTGTAGTTAAGGAGGTAGTTAAGTAAAATAAAAAATAACTCTCACTCTGTGTCTCTCAGGTGTGTGTGTGTGTGTGCGGGGGGGAAGGGAGGGGGGTATTCAGGTCTGGTTGCCATGACACTGTGGAAGTCACACTGACCTTCTGGCGGCGCACACACCACTGCTGCCTCGTTCCCATGGCTACAGTCACCAGTGACGAACGTCCTGCTCCGGCAGCTACTCAGGCTGTTCTCGTCGCCACGGCAACCCAGGCGCTCGTAGTGGAATAGGCCGGGGCCCGAACCGAACTGGGAGTGCTGCAAGGCCGTGCCAATGTCGCTGTTGAAATAAATCCCCCAATGAGAACAAGCTGTGAAACATCAACACTTTATAATAAACTCGTGTTTTGGGATTTCTCTCTTACCCCAGGCCCAGCTGCCTACAGATCACACTGGCGTCTCTGTCTGACCAGTGAGAGTCACACACCGCCCCCCACTGGCCGTTCAGGTAGACCTCAACCCGCCCACTGCCAGAGGACGAGCTGCCGACCAGACGCGCTGCGCCTGAAAAGCGGCAACGATACGAGATGATGACACAACAAACGTGCAGTTAAGTATTCACCAGTTTGTCCACAGTGTGACGCAGTGGAAAGCTGTAGTTCCGACATCACGGCATCATCTGACAATCTATTTATTATTTGATACTTGGGGGGCAGCAGAACAAGCTCTTAACACCATATGATGATTATTGTTGTAATTATTATATAATAATAAGTATGTTATGTTGTCTTATGCATTCATTTGAATAATATTCTCTCTTCATTTAGCTCTGTTTTTGGTCTCCACCAACTCCTGAAGAAAACCTGGTTCTTTAGCTGCTAAGTACTCCACTGTGTTCACCAGTTAGTGCCTCACTTTGTCTGCCAATTGGTGCTAAGCAGGTAGAGTACAGTCGCTTTTTAGGGCATTTTAGCTGGAAACGAGGTTGATTATGAGAGTTTGTGAACCAGAAAACCAAAAATAATGATCCAAAATACACCAAAGCACTCTGTATGAACAGCCCCTTTCCCATTACACATAGTCTTCATGGTCAATTTGATCCATTGTTCGTCATTTGTCAAGCAGAAATTCTAAACATTCACTGTAAATGTAACTTCAAATTGTAAATTGAATATTATTGGGCATTTTGATCAATTTCAAGTCACCCCGAAAACTGAAAAGTTTTGGCCTGTGAGTCCTTGAAGAAGACAGCGTCACTCCCTCCATTTGGATTTGCATATCTTTTATATATTTGACTGGTTTCCATTTCCATATACTGTTTCTTTGTATTTGTTTTAGAGAGAGTGAAACTATACAGCATCTCACAAGACAAGTGGAGAGATTAGACCAAACTAGACCAAAATAAACTAAAAATTTATTTTTTGTTCATTTATTCATCTCCCAAACCCTCAGATTAATTGTTGGACTGAAATATTAATCCAATAAATGAATTGATAATAACGTTAGTTCCTGTGTTATACTGCTAATTTCCCAGATGAATGAATGGATGATAGAAAGTTATTTGGTTTGTTTTTTTAACAATTTTGTGCATTTTCTTCTTTTATTTACTGTTCTTAAATAATTCCTTTTGTCATGTATCTGCAGTTTGTAGCTTTGTTTTAAAGAAGTGCTATAAAAACAAAGTTTAATGTAAATGGTCCTGGATCAGTCACATCCAGGTGGTCCACGGTCGTACCCTGGTGGCAGTCGCAGTAAGCCCATCCGATGGCTCCAGAGTTTTGTCTGAAGAAGCACCAGGGGTTGGACTCTCGGTCTGGGTTCCTGCAGTAGCTGTGGTCGCCCAGCCCTCGGCCCGGATACTGCATCACATAGTCTGGAAACTCGGTCCACTTCAGACAGGGGGCGCCAGAGTCCGTCTGAGACACGGTGCCGTTGTAGTATCCCAACTCTGTGAATCCCTCAGAGCAGGACAGAGGCACTGCACAAAGAGAGGGAGGGAAGGGAGGGGATATTAAATGTTGAGGAAAATGGGAGAATAAGATGTTTTGGATGGAAGGAGGAGGATTTGGGTCAGAGAGGACAATGTGAATAAAAGGGGAAAGTTTGGGAGAAGTGAGAGGAAAGACGACTGGAATTGCTCTTAATTCAAGTCCAATTATCCCCATGTCTGTATTTTATCTGAACATAAAAGCTTACATGGATGATTCTCGTATGCTGCCACAGCAGGATCTCGCCTAATGCATTTACCCCCACTGATCCATGTTGAATTGGTGAAATTTCCATAACCTTAAACTGCCATCACTTAACACGGTGGTGATCGGACACTTCCAGTAATCTCCTCTGAGAAAGGAGGAATGTGTGAGTGAAGCTTAGACAGGCTGAGAGGGGAAACTGCTGACTTCAAAGTGTAGCAAAATTAGGCCACAAAATATAGAGCAGGTTACATCCTGTAGCCTAGTAAAAACTTACATCACACATTAATGAAAAGGAGTTATATTGCAGAACTTAACGAGCAGAGCTGTACACATTAAAAAACGGGTGCTCCATTTTAAAGTGACGATACCGGTGACCTAGGCTCAATTTTGGGGTTTTGGGGTTAAAAACTGTCATGGCAGTATGTTTCTATGGGTACCCACAAGCCTTGTCTTTGCAGATAGGCCCACTTTCTTGTTGTATTTACATGTTGTATTTTTATATTTCTGCATACTGTGGTCCCTAAACAGTATTGGAATTGCAGAAATTGGGAATGACTGAGATGTACTTCATGCAACCCCTGCCAGACATAATGCACCCAGAGGTACCCTGGGTACAGCATTAAAGAGGCTTTTAAATATGTTTTAATATGTTTAGTTTAGTTTTGACTTATAGAAAGAGGCAGATTTGACAGGAAACCTGTGTATCCTTGTTTATAGGCTGTTATGTAAATCAAATCTTTTGAAATATACATGAATTTGGGGAAGCGTACATGACAAACCATGAGTTGCCTTCTTAGCTGTTCAGTGTTTTCAGATGTGAAATGAAATATTACCAAATTAATTGAAACTTAACTTATTTTTATGAAATGTTACTTCATCATTCTTATTTTTGGAAAAAAAAAACAACAAACTTGTTTTTATATCATAATGTAATAATAAATTATTTTAAAAATATTATTTGTCTATTTCTTTTCTTTTTTTTCTATTATTTCTTTATTTTCTTCCATTCTTCTATTCTTTCTTGTTTCCTTACTTTTCTTTGTCAACTGATTTAGAAGTGTTAAACATCTCTCTCCTAAAACCTGAGAAACAACAGCTTTAATGTTAATGTTTTACTTGTCCTGGAGTATTTTCCGTCGTGGTGTTGTGGTGCTTTCCTGCTAAGGATTTCTTTCTCTGCAGGCCGAGTTGCTACTAAACTATGATTAATGGCGGAGGTGCTTCAGTAACCGCCAACGGTCTTATCTCTTCGACACACACAGCTTGGCCATCCTGCAACATTATCTACGCAGTGCAACCCTCATGCCCACCTTGCACACCAACACACACACACACACACACTCAGATTTGCTGCAATAGTGACAGAGCAGAAACACACACAACACTACAGTCAGACACAGAAATCACACACACACACACACACACACACACACACACACACACACACACACACACACAGAAAGAGACTCACTGGGTCCAATTTGGAGGGAGATAAGAGGAAGAGCCGAAGAGGGAGGAAGTGAAAGAGGAAATCAATCAAGCAAAAATGTACTGAACTGAAGCAGAAATCTATCTTCAAACAATAAATAATACAGAACACACTCAGATACTGGACCCAAAAGCAACCCTCTCCAGTACCCAAGCCTGAAAAAGCCTTCAGACATAAACGCGTGCCTGTCCCTTTAAGAAACATGACCCAGGAAGAAACTGAAAGTAGAATTTATTCCTGGGAAACCACCGTGATCTCTTGTCTTCATTCTTTATCCTTTACAGACCAACACCAGAGGTAAGTCGTCAATAAGGATCCAGACTTTCATTCTAGAACATAAGAAGTTAAATCTATGTTGTGTGTAGGTTGTAGTTGCATCCCACTTTCTGCTGTTTGTGTTGCTGCTTTCTTTCCATTAAAAACTAAATGCTTTGTCATAGTTCAGCATAAAATAATATACCCACAGGGTCCTTTTTAGTAAGCTTTCACATCACATGATCTTCATCAGCTGATATTCTCATGGAAATGTTCAGATATGCTTTTTTTCTTTTTCCTTGACTGCAATGAATTCTTGACCCTGAAAGCAGCAGCTGACAAAACCACAAACACATTTATGGAGGAGCTTTCACGCTGTCTTCATGGAGTTCAGGCCTGATATTGTGGGTATTTTATTCCAACTGATGTTTACAAGTTAAACAATGGACTTTGAACTTAAGTAAGTAACTTATAAAGACACAGTGAACTTAAAAATTGGTTGTCCAGCTTCTAAACCTGTGTGCTCTTTCTTTATATCCCAAATATCATCCTGATCCTGGGGTCTTACAGCAAGACTTTGAGAATATGCAATAGTTGAAGGGTTGCAACTGACGAGTATTTTCACTATCGATAATGATTATTATTAATAATTTGGGCCATAAAATATAAAACAAATAGAGATAAAGTTTCCCAAAGCCCATGCTGACATCTTTAAATAGTTTTTTTGTTTCATATTCAGCCAAACATATTTCATTTATCAGATATTCACAAAAAGAGAAATTTTTTTTGCTGTTTTTGATGCCGATTACTCAATTTTCAAAATAGTTGCAGATAAATTTTCTGTTGATTGATAATGATTGGAAATGTATCAACTAATTGTTAAATTCAATGAAAACTGAGCAAACTCTGCTGATTTGGATCATGTGATGTGATCAAAAGCTCCCAACAGCTACTAAACTAACTTTGAATCTCAGCTCTGTGAAGTGTTGATGTGTTAATATTTGGCACTAATTGAACTGTTTTTCAGAAATGGCCTCCAGCAGCAGTCTCTTATCGGAGGAGCAGTTTCTTTGTCCCATCTGCCTGGATGTGTTCAATCGGCCAGTTTCCACTCCATGTGGACACAACTTCTGCATGTCCTGTATCACAACCTACTGGACCAACGCGCCGGTCTGCCAGTGTCCCGTCTGTAAGGCAGCTTTTGAAAGGAGACCAGATCTCAAGGTCAACACTTTCATTTCAGAGCTCGCATCGCAGTTCATGTCACTTCAAGTGGCAGACGCTCTCATCTGGAGCTCAGACCAACAGCAGGCTGGCTGTGGCGGTGCAGTGCTGTGTGATATTTGTACTGACACCCAGGAAGAGGCTATCAAAACCTGTCTAGAATGTCTCACTTCTTACTGCAACGTTCATCTAGAGCCTCATCACAGAGCTGTCGGACTAAAGAGACACAGGCTGGTTGAACCCTTGGCAAACATGGAGGACAAGATCTGCAGGGAGCATACCAGACTCCTGATATTCTTCTGTAGAAGCGACAAAGTTCTGCTGTGTGACATCTGCGCCAGCTTGCGCCACGTGAACCATGACGTGGTTCCTGTGCAGCAGGCGTACGCAGAGATGAAGCTTCTGCTGGGGGACACGGAGGCCAACGTGCAGCAGATGATCCAGGAAAGGCTGCAGAAAGTCCGAGCCATGAAGGAGTCAGTAAAACAAAGCAAGACGGAAACCATAGATGTGATGGCAAACAGCGTGCAGGACTTGACGGCACTGGTCTCTGAGATTCAGAGGAGCCAGAGGGAGCTCGTAAAGGTGATGGAGGAGAAGCAAAAAACTGCAGAAGCACAAGCAGACGGGTTTATTGGCAGTATGGAACGAGAGATCAACGAGCTGCAGAGGACAACGATGAAGCTGAGGGAGCTAAAACAGACTAAAGACCAGCTTTCTTTTCTCAAGAACTTCCCAAAACACTCCCTCCTACCGCACACAATGGACCTGTCCTTATTCAGTTTTAACAGACACGTGGAGGTTCATCACATTCGGAAATCTTTGAGCAAATCGGTGTCTCAGCTGCGAATGCTGTTGAATAAAATGAACACAGAAATCAAACAATTCTCTGACGGCACAGACGTGTCAAACAGTGCGACGCTGAGATACATGCAGCAGTATGAAGAGGAAGTTCTGCTCGATCCTGACACAGCTCACCCTCTGCTCATTATATCCGCTGATCGGAAACAGGTGAGGTACAGCATGGGTTCCGGTTTGTGGGGGAACCAGAACTTCAACCCGCACATGTTTACGGAACATCTCGCGGTTCTGGGGCAGAGGGGCTTCTCGTCAGGTAAGTTTTACTTCGAGGTGTTCGTGGGTGAAAAGTCCGAATGGTGTCTGGGCGTGGCCGCTGCGTCGGTCCAGAGGATAGGGGCGCTTTCACGGAGCCCTCACAGTGGACTCTGGGCCATCTGGTTCCTAGTAGATAAGTTTGAGACCTTCGGTTCACCAAACGTACCAGTACACATCGGTAAAGTGGAGAGGGTCGGTGTGTTTGTGGACTATGACGGAGGGCAAATTTCTTTCTGTGACGTACAGACGGCAACACTTATTTACTCATTCACTGAGTGTTTGTTTGCTGAAGAACTGTATCCGTACTTTAATCCTTGTGATAATGAATATGGTTCAAACTTGGAGCCGATGATAATTGTTCCTGCAAGTTGTACGGAGTGAACAGAGGCTTCAGAGCCTTTGTGGGTTCATTACTACAATGCAAGTGATGTGTTTGATTGCAAAAAGAATCCTCATATTCAATCAACACTTACTTATAAGGCAAAGCTTTTATTTGTTTGATTAATTATTTATATTTTAGAGAGTGTCAATTTCCAGAGCACCAAAGGTCTGATATTAACTCGGCTTATACATTATCAAAATACACAAACATGCATCTGCACTCTTCACTAATGAGAAACTAGTTTAAGTCCACACACCTGTGTAAAGGTGAACACAGCACATACAAACACATTCTGCAATTAGGTGTTGTTTTGGCAATGATGTTCCACAAGGGGACAAAGGTCTCAAGCTCAAAGGACAGTTGCTAGAGGGCTTCTCTGCTTGACTTTTTCAACCCTTCACGCAGACTTTCTGTGACTTTGCTCAAGGGAATAACCCACAATGCTAAGCGCTGCAAGGTTAAAATGGCATTATCAGTGTAATTCCCCATTGCAAAGAGATTTTCCTTTGAAGTATAAAAATAAAAAACATGTGGGGCTGCATCGAATAATAATCGTTTTGTCTATGAAATATAAAATTCCCAGAGCTGAGAGCATATTAAATGCATCATGGAAATCAAAGAAAAGCATTAAAACCAATCAATCAAAATAGTTCCTGAATAATTTTATAGCTATCGATTAATCAACCAGTTGTCCTTTAACCAGCTCTGTTGTTGCCCTATTACAGGACAACATGACTTCCAGATATGTCACCAATGAAATATCAGCCTCACACTTCTTCCGTCCAGGTAATGTGATCTCACAAAGTGCCCTTCCATTCGTCAGACAGCTCCCTACATTCATGAGTTATGATGATGACGTACATGCCGTTGAGTCTGGAGCTTGAGAGTGGGCTCACAAAAGACATCTGTCTGTGTCTCTGCAGTAAAAGCACATGTCTACGTATTAAAATTAATAATGGCTGAATTCCATTAAGCTGCTTGAGTTTCAGGGACCTGATAGTGTTCATACTGGTTCCCTATCGGGACTAACTGGGACTATTGGATAGAACTAAAACCATTGTCACTGTTATTAGTATCACCTGGTGTTTCTCCTACTATGACAGGTCAAAATGCTGTGAATAAAAACTTATGTGTCTTGAATATGAGGAGAAAATCTGTGAAAGTAGATCATCCATAATTAAATTCACCAGGTATACTCACTTCCATCCATTTATTTCATGTTTCTTCAGCATTAAGTCATTTTTAAGCTAATTTCCATCAGCCTGTTTGGTAATATATATCCCAATTAACTAATAATTACAAATATATTCATGTCATTTAAATCAAGTTATATGTTCTTATGTCGATTCTGCTTACATCATAAATGCATATATGTCTTGTCACTTGTCACTGCAGTTATATTTGTGTTTCACATGTTTATCTAAATGAATAAATAAAAATATGTTTTTAAAGCTGTATATGCTCTGTAATTGTGATAAAACTTTTATAGCCAGCTTGATAAAATTTTAATAAAGTGAAAAAGCATTACGTAACTGAACCGGGCAATATTTTCACAGTGTATCTCTGGCAGGTTTCTCTTTCCATCTCCAGTGAAAGCTTAAAATGAACATTTCATCTTCAAATTCCCCTTTTTTCACCACTTTTGAATTTCACTTCCTCCCTCCTCCTCCGTCTCATTCAAGTTCTTTTATTCATCTCAACACCCGCAGCGTTCAGACACACACACACACACAACACACACAACACTCGCCGCTAACACCCTCCTCATTGCCACGACAACGGTACTCTGCCCATCGCCATGGGAACACTCAGTCTCCCTGCTCCAGTAATCCATTTCCCAGCCACAATGAGTATTTGACACGGTTCACACTCAGAGGCTTGCTGTATGGGGGGTGGGTGTGCAGCATCTTCTGCACAAAACACACACATTATAATAAATATGGAATTGGGGAACATTTCCTTTCACTTTTTCACAATTTAACCGGGTTTTTATACAATGTGGCGCAACAAAGGAGAGCTGGAGGAAAACGCTGCAACAGACAAGCATCTTGTTTGAATTCTTGTTATGAAAATCAACTTGTTATCCAGGTTTAGAGAGCCCTGATGTGGTTTCAACACAGTCTAGCTGGTTTTGCAGATGGATGAGATTGTAAAAGTGCGTGTAATTTTCCTTCGTCTGTCAATGTGTGTGCCACTGTAAAAGCACAGATATTCCAGCACTGCAAATGAGCCTGAGAAGGAGGAGTTCCTCGCCCCACCCCCCATCATTGCCTCCACTCCTCCTCCCAGGGATGTGGAGAAAAGAGGGGAAAATGAAATGCAGAGGGGTCCAAGGCCGGAGGGAAGAGGAGAGGTAAGACTGAGTGTGGGAGCAGAGCCGGATAAAATAAAGAAGAGGCGTCAACAGAGAGGGTTTCATAGGTGTCTGAGTCAGAATGTGGGTTAAACTGGAGGGAAAAACAGAGAGAGCAGAAGGGAAGAGATGGTGTAGGAGGAGGAGAGACAGGATGGAGTGAAGCTTCATTTATAACCGAGCGTACAGGCAGGAGTATCGCCTCCCACTTACCTGAGTTCTGCACCTCGTTTAAGTAACTGTCCTCCGCCACCACCTGCAGACGGGAAGAGAGAAGAATTTCAGTCAATAATCTCAGCATTCTTCCCATTATACGAGGCAAAAAGCACATTATTATTGATACAAAAGCAGACTAACAAGACAGATTGCCAAGGTTATGAGGTTATGTTATCTGTTCCTCTTCTGTTAATGAGCAGAATATCTCAGATTTTTACTGAAATTTGGTGGAAAAGTAGACATTGGGACCAGAAAGAAATGATTAAAGTGCCACCATGAAGTCATTTCAGATTCATTTCACGATGCACAAATAAATGTATACTGTATAAAAGCAGGGTCCCTAATAGACGTCGGCCTCGTTTAAAAGCCTGGTGTGGCTACATGTTTTGACAAATAAACGCAGGTCCCCAATAGAGGCCTGGTATGGATTTTAAAGAAACTATCTCAATGTATAAAACCTCTTAAAACCCACCGGGTCGCCTGCTTGAGCGAGTTTTAAGTCGTTTTGATCTCCTACACAAATATAAATGTTTAAACTCCTTGCACATAATGTGCATCGTTAGATCAGTTATTGATTCTCCACAATTCAGTCGTTCACTTCATTTTACGAAAACTATCCACACCAAAGTATAACGTTTCCAAATTCATTCTGAATTACCGGTAACATATTAAACAAGAGAGACAGGAAAAAAACCTCTGAAGCGATCATAAAGTCCGTACGGTCGGTGTCTGTTCCTCCCTTATTTATATTCCTTTAATTCGTCAGGGGTCCACCGATCAAAAGAATCAAATGGTTTATTTAAATTAAGAGTTCTGAATATTATCATGTGAGGTCCATTGCTCATGATGACGTTAACGTTCGGTGTCAAATTTACTGTAAGTCACATGTTAGTTGTTAAATTTGCTGAACAAAACTCAAGAGAAGCAGCAGTTAGAGTTTTAGTTTAGTTTTGTACTAAAGAAATTAAACGCCTGTCCCAAATAAAGGCTGGGGGAGTTCAGTCATTTAGGCAAATAAACGCCAGAGCCAATTTTAGAAGTTTTACAGTATTATGGTTTATGAATAAATTAACGCTCCAGTCCACATCACAACAAACACCAGCCAACTCAACATGCTCATGGTTAAAGAAACCAGTGTTGATAGTTGGGTAGGAATCTGGATGCAAACAGCAGTCAAACAGGTTTTGCAGCGTTGGAACTCCTAACAGACACCAGTCATTATTCACACGTTCACAAGCTGTCCTTGTCTTAACAATGCAATCACTGCTGTGCTCTGTCTGGTGAGGACATTGTGTAACTGGAGCCACAGTTAGATAAAACACACATATCAGCTCAGAGCCCACAAATTTGATGTTCATTTAAAGGAGCAGTGTGTTGTATGTGTGTAGTTAATTGCAACTGCCTTGCTTCACTCTCCTCTTCCCAGCGTCCCTATCTAGAGCCAGTGTTTGGTTTGTCTGTCCTGGGCTACTATAGAAACATGGCGGTTCGACGCGGAGGACTCCATGGATGACGATCTGCAGCATCTTTAGATATAAAAGCCTCATTCTAATGTAACAAAAACAAAATGATTCCTATTTCCAGGTGATTCTACACTAATGAAAACATACCTATGAAGATTATATCCTCCTAAATGTTACATACTGGACCTTCAAACAACAAATCTGACTCCTTCTTGCACAAACACAAATTTTTTTAGGAACATTATCTAGTACAGGAATCGTATTTGTATGTTTTTGAATCACATATTTGAGGGTACGTTGTTCATTAACGGCGGGGATCACCAGTCAATGATATAAAAATATAACCACCCAGGAACGAGAGCGTAGTGTAAAAAAACACACACAGCGACACAAATAGTAGTAGACAGCATCAGATGATATCTGACAGAAGAGTGTTTGTTTCGTTTTTCAAAATCAGGTCACACCTCTACTCAGTGGGGCACCTTGCAGAAGAGGAGAGGACACACACACACACACACACACATACAGAGAGAGAGGGGGGAGAGCTGCTGCTGTGGAATAACTGTAGTGAGGATAGTGAAATACAACACATTTCACCTTCACACAGGTGAGTTCTGATCTCTACTTGTCTCCAATAACTCACAATACACACACACACACACACACACGCTAACACCTCCCACAAGGCTCTGCTCAGCCTAATGTTATTAGAGCAGGAACAGGTGACCTGTGGTAGTGAACATGGATGCTGATATCTCCATCCATATCAATCACACGGCTCGATTACGCCGCTAATCAGTTATGACGCTCGCACAGCTGCGTCCAGTGCATCGCCACGCAAACACACACAAACACATAAACACACAAACACACAAATACTATTACAGGTTGGAAGGGGCTCTAAGGGAATGTTTTTAGTCCTAAATGATAAAAATATGTGTTAACCTGACTGGTTGTTGCTGGTAAGGTTTTGGGAAATTACAATCCACCTCCAGTCTCTGACTAATAAATTAGTTTAAACACTAAAATAAAGCAAATTATAGTATTTGTTCCAACTGCCTCAGGACTGACTACAAACAGTCTCTTCTGTGAGGCAGTTTATACTCTGGTAGAGCAGGTTTACATAAGATTGGTTGATAGCAGGATAGCAACTAACGGTTACTGTCGATTTATCTTCTTAGTTAATTGATCAATCGGTCTATAAAATGTCATAAAGAGCCCGGTCTGACATATTGAAACTGCTTGTTTTGTCCAACCGGCTGTACAAAACCCCAAATACTCATATACAACTATAGAAGACCAAGAAAACTGGATACATTTCTCATTTTTAGAGGCTGGAACCAGAAATCTTTCTAGAATTTTTGCTTTAAATGAAATTGTGGCAGATCTCTGTTTACCAACTATTCAATGAACTGACTAATCATTCAGATCCCTCTGAGGTTAGTACTGTCAATGAAGGTTTGCAGTTGCACATTAAAGTTTCCCAAAGTTGAATTTACACAAAAGCTGGCAACAAAATCTCTCTGGTAAAGGTTTGGAACAGGTTTTGGCTTCAGTTCAATGTCAGTAAAGTAAAAACACTTCCTGTCTCTTGCTTCTTGATGTTGTTCTGCCAAAAAATCCTTCTATGTGTGGCTCTATTTTGAGGATTTGTTGGTTTATACCTGCAAATGGTGCGAGTTGGGAACTAACTACAATTTATTGTTTTAGTGTGGAGATATCTCAGATAATAAAGTAATGGATGTGAGTCTTTCTGTTTTACCTGTGAACATCTTTGTTCTGACAACAAAATACTGTCATCTGCATTCAGGATTCTTCATGATGAAGAAAGATTTGTCTAATGAAGTTGAAATGAAAAAAGAAAAAGCTGAAACTCATCTGCAGTGAGCTATTTGTGCTACATGCACGGCTGCTTCCAGTGTTAGTGGGTCTAATTAAATCCTGCACACCACTGTACTCCACTAATGACTTCTACACAGGCTGCACAGCTCATATACTGCACATTAGCACAACACACACTCACTGTAGTACCACAGAGGAGAAATGGGGAAAAAAATGTAATGAATCTAATGATTAATGGATTGATTTAGCATTAATTGATTGCTTTGCAACATTCAGATCCTGTAAGAAAGAAGAACTTTCTGATCAATTCTGTCTCATAAATCACTGAACCTGACTTCCAGATGAGGCTCAGGATGCTCCGACCCACATCACCTGACAGCAACACCTGCTCCTCTAGTTTTCTGTTTCAACGTGTCTGACTTGACTGAATCGCTGTGACAAGCTTCAACAGCCCGCACAGGGTTCATTCCCACCGCACCGCGGGTGCACCGGAGCCACCTACGGGTTCCTCTCATGATATCCCGCCGAGGGAGGGAGGGAGGGTGGAGTGGTTGTGATTGGAACCATGCATGTGTGTGTGTGTGTGTGTGTGTGTGTGTGTGTGTGTGTGTGTGTGTGTGTGTGTGCGTGTGCGTGTGCGTGTGCGTGAGACA